GCTGTAGAAACCAAAAAGGCATGTTGCCATTGGTCACCTGAAAATGTATCAAAAGTAGTAGTCCAAACGTCATATCCAGCATCATTTTGTTGTTGAGAACATTTATGATGCCAATACGGTCTCCCAAAATGCATCCTAGTGTGGGCCAAGCGGAATATGCACTTCAAAAACCTTTCTAACCATTTTCTCTGACACCAAGAGAAAGACTGAGTGTTTGCGTTGGCTATGTCTACTTCGTTTGGCTTCTCGGAAACTGGTGAAGCTATGGTCCGAGTAACTCCGGCCGGCCGCAGAGTTTGTGTTACCAGACTCGGGGTGAAAGAAAGGGCAGGTTGGCTTTGAAAGATGTTTGATAGGGGAAATTGAAGGGGGGAATCATCTATCATCAGATGTCGTTGTTGCAGGCTTAGGTAGCTCAGTTGTGGAATTGTATGTCTGATCTATAACTTATTAGATTGGTATCGGGTGGTCGATTCCTGTTCGTGTGGGAGTCGGAGTTGGAAGTGCTACGGGTGGTAGAAAGAAGTCCGTATCGAGTCGGAGGCAAAGCTTTGTCCCTATTCCGGTGGTCCCCAGGTTTAGAGAGAGATTGTAACAGAAGAGGAACCCGGCGATGGAGAGTGAGAGCTTTTGTACTCCTGCTTCATGCTTGGTGTTTAGAAACCTTTAGGGAGTTAGGGAACGCCGCCCGAGGCATTGCCGGAGTTGCAGAGGAGAACCTTCAGTGCAGGGACCCCAGGAGGCTGTGAGGCTAATGATTTGGGTGGGAGCGCCGTATGACATCTGAAAGGCCTTAACAGTGGAAATAATCGGGGAGATCTTCATGGTCAATCTCGTGGTACAAGGGCTGGAGACATTGATCCATTGACCCAACAGAGGGCTTTGCTGGGTTGCGGTAGAAGCTGAAACGGAAGGAACAAGGGAAGTAAAGCTGGAGGTTGATAGACTTGTCCATCAGGGGTAGGAGGAGAGAGGAAACTCGATGCTGTTACGGGAGGGTTCACATCTACGCCCTACAAAGAGGCGCTCCACAATGTCCACAGCACATTCTTACTTTGTATTGTATAATAATTACGAGAAATGATAAGGTAGGGATGATCTGTGGGGCATTGGGGCGCGAATTAGAAAAGAGAGGCATAAGTTCGGGGGAGCCCACGTGCGAATTAAGCGCCAAAAGTGGAAACCGGATCTGCTCCTCATAATTGGCGCCTCACGCGCACACTCTATCATTCATTCGGAATATCTCCCGTTTTTATTAATTATTATTCATGGGAAATCCAATGAAAGGTGGATGTGCATATGAGGTGCTCATTTGTGAAGAGCAGATCCTGTCACCCAGAAGTGAGTTTTCTGGTTCATGGGCCACTGACTTCAGGAGGGTCTAAGTGTCTGACCTTGTGCTGACAAGCTCATTACGGCCGCGGGTTCTTAGAACCGATCAAAGGTGTTAATTGGACTGGAATTGGTCCAATCCGATTTAGTTCAATGTGAGTCTATTATAAATGTTTGAATGGTTTAATTTGTTTTGATTTAGATTTGTTTCAATTCAAATTTGGTCCAATAATGTTTATATTTTTATCTTTATATCAATGAACCAGATATTGACTTAATCAAACACAGTCCAATATAAATTTATTACAGACAGATAGGTCCAATCCAATCTAATAAATATTTTAGACTGAATTAGTCCAATCTAATATGTCTTATTGGTTCGTTGAATCCATTTAAATTGATTTTGAACTGAACGAAGTATTCCAATCCAAAACCGGTCCATTGACACCTTTAGAACCAAGTCTTGTGGTGTTGCTTGTATGGGCCCTTCAGTTGGAGCAGGAGAAGGGTTGGCTGAGAAGGATAGAAGGCCAGTCTCAAAGGGGTTTTTAGTCCTGGTTTCGTTAGTTTGGGATCGACTGAAAACAGCCATTGCACCTAGACGAGCCAGTCGAATTCCATCTTAGCTAGAAACCTGAGAAGCTTAACCCTAGCTAAAAGGAATGTAAAGAGAACTGGGTTGAGGTTGATTTGTAAGAAAAAGTCCCTTCTGAACTCTGATGGCAACAAAGGATACAAGACAAAAGGAAGTGTTTGAATCAGGTGTAGTGGAGATGTCTACAACCATTGAAGCCCGAGCGGAGAAGAATGGTCAAGTGGGAAAGTCTTTGGGTTTGCAGATCTGGGGTGGGGTGGGGTTGGGAGGAGTAAGGGGTAGAGGGAGAGGAGGAAGGGGAAAGGTCAGCTGCTAGTTGAGAGTTTTTTGACCCCTTCGGTTGATGAGTTATTAGGTTGTTGAGAGTTTTGTTCTTGAGTTTGGCTGATGTTCCCTTGGTTTGGGGTATCTAGTGGTGCTCTTGTTGTAATTTAGGTCGGAAGTATGTTGTTTGCTTGAGTGGTGTGGAGCCCAGGTTTCCTACTCACTCTCTATCCGTAGTGAATTGGAGTTACACATCTCTCAATTTATAATAGAAATGTATGGCTCTAATTCACTGTAGGTAGAGTGGGTAGAAAAAGTGAGTAGAAAATCCCGAATGGTGTGGCTGTAGATCTTTTCGAGTTTTTGTTTTGTCTCCGTTGTAGAGCTTTTTGAGCCATTTTATTGGCTAATTTTTTTGTAATTTTTCCTTCTATCCTTAAAAAAAGGAGAAAGACTCAAAGCTTATATTCGACTTGCAACTCCAACAAACATAACCACTGATGGAAGATTAATGTACAACAGATGTTACCCAATAGAAAGCAGAGCTACCACCCCTGTGCAGTGGGTTCATATCAGACGAATACCAATAACAAACAATAAGAGTAGATGAAGCCTGGGAGAGAGGTGGGGAAGGTTTCCTAAGAAGCCTAGGAGTTTTTTGGGTAAATTCTTATAATTTTAGAAATGTGAATGGGTTCAAACCAAAAAATTAGGGGTGGGAAGGGAAAGAGGTCTGCTGAGGTGGCAGGCTGAGAGTGTAAGGAAGATAAGAGGAGAAGGAGAGGCCATGTGACATGACATGTTTTAAATTAATGAAGTTTATGTTGTATTTATGTGCTTATGCCTTGTTTTAAATTATTCAAGCCTTCAAATTAATGCTATTAATGTGACTTTGAGATTCATGTAAGTTTCATTAGAAAGAAAATAACGAAAGGAAGAGAAAGAAAGAAAAGAGTAGCGATCAAATTAGTCTCTTGACTAAGTAACATGGGGATAAGTTTCAAGGTTTGTGCTTTGGGCTTAGATGTATTTTGGTTTTAGACTATTGTGATTTTAAAAGAAATTTTTATGAAACACCCAAGACATTTTTGACTCATTTTTGTTTCGTACAACTTAAAGCTCAAAGGTTGAAGCTTATCCAAGCAAGCGCATATTTAAAGGCTTAAAGGTCATCAACAATCCAACATGCCTATTTAAAATTTATTTAAACCCCCCAATCGTTTTAATGTCTATTAACACTTCTTTTCTAAGTTTATACACAAAAATTATATTTAGTCTTAGGACTTGCAGTTTGAGATGTAATTGGATCGCATTCGGCAAAACCCGAATCCAATTCGATTATTAAAAGTTTGCATGAGTCTGATCCAAAATCCAATCAGATTTGAAGATCATGGATTTGAATTCGAATCCTAATTATAACAGATTCCATTTGGATTTGGATTTAATTGGGTTCTATTTTAATTTTTTAAAATACAAAAAATAAAATTTTAATTAATTTTCAACTTTTATATTAATAAATTAATGTAAATATACATACTGGATTTATTATATATATATAAATTCATATATAATATAATATATAAATACATTTTTTATAATTTTAAATATAACTATATAAAATTTATATATTAAAATCAATAAATATTATAATATAATCAAACTTAGATTTAATCAAATTTGCTTAGATTGGATGGGATTAAATTCAAATCCGATTTAATTATTTATTGGATGCAGATTGTAAAATCTAAATATGATATAATTAGATAATACATCATCTGAATCCGAGATAATTAAATTCGATGTTAAATTGGGCCTTAGATTTTCAGTTATCATTGACAAACTTACTTGAAATCTTAAACCTAGGTTACTTATGGCATGCCTGATAGTTAATAATCTTTAGCATGTACAGTATATATTAGAAGAACATTGCAGCTTGGGTTTGGGTTTAAAATTTTGGATTTGATATCAATTTGTGTCCAAGTTAAAGTCCATGGCTTGGTCTTGGATTGGTCTTCAGGATTAAATATCCTTAATCCTTGCTTTATGAGTGAGAGAGAGAGGGAGAGAATTTGGTTAGTCCAACGTTCATATTTAGGGTTGGTTATTAGCCCAACTAGACCTATCTAAATTATACATTATTAGAGAGGGTGTTGTAGGCTTATGGTATACTATAAGCAGGATCGTTTCTGTGCAGGTCATAAAAATTAAGGCCCCTGGTTCATGGGAATAGGGGTCTGAAATTGGAATCGGCTATTTGGATTCTAACTGTTTAGCTTCTGGAATCAAAATCCCATTTTATTCTTGTTGGAACGGTATTCCCCCATTTGAGAGAATGGCTATTCCTTGTCCTTCTCTTGAGAATGAAATCCTATTTTTGCTGATTCCAATTCTTATTCCTGTACCTGTCTGAACCAAACAATCTATGAGAATGGAGCATATTTCTATTCCTATTCCGGATGATTTCGAACATGAAGGTTTTTATTGTGACATTATACTTTTAATAATTTAATTTAAAAATAAATAACCGTCAGAAATGGGAGGAGGAGGAGGTCTGCTCAACTGAACGATGCAGCTCGTCCTTTGACTCACATACCCATGTATGCGCGCCACAATTTCTATCGGCTCCGAGTCTTTTGTGCGTTGATCTGGTCAAACCCATTACGCTTTACATCTCAAGTCTCAAATTCTTTCACCAGAATTTCCGCTGTTCTTCTCTTAAATCAATCTGACCTCCCTTCACGCACGCACTCTACTCTCCCTTCTGCAACTATTTTATAATTGCAAATACAACCACCGATCGATACAGACAATGCTTGCGCACGGCACTGGCCAAAAGCCTCATGCCATCTTTATTCCCTACCCACTCCAAGGCCATGTAATTCCATCAGTCAATCTTGCCTTGAAGCTTGCATCAAAAGGATTCATCGTCACTTTTGTCAACACCCAATCCATCCATCACAAGATCTCCAAAGCCCAGCCAGGGAGTGGCGGAGACATCTTCGCCGATGCCCGGAAATCCGGTATCGACATCCGCTACGAGACCGTCTGTGATGGACTGCCCATTGACTTCGACCGGTCACTCAACCACGACCAGTTCATGGCCTCCCTCCTACACGTATTCTCTGCCCATGTCGAGGAACTCATCAGAAGGATTGTTCAGCAGGCCAGCCCTCCACTCACCTGTCTGATCGCTGACACATTCTTCGTGTGGCCATCAATATTGGCAAAGAAGTTCGGCCTTGTTTATGTTTCCTTCTGGACAGAAGCCGCCTTGGTCTACGCTCTGTACTACCACGTCGACCTTCTACGGCTGAATGGCCATTTTGGTTGTATTGGTAGGTGATGATTAATTAAATTTTGTAAGTTAAAAACTTATTTAATTGGATCATGCTTATCTCTTTTCATCTCTCTGTCTGATCAGACAAACGTGAGGACACCATAGATTACATTCCAGGCGTGTCAAGCTTAGAACCGACGGATCTCATGTCATACCTTCAAGACACGGATACGTCGACGGTGGTGCACCAGCTGATATTCAAGGCATTCCAGGATGACAAGGGAGCGGATTTCGTGATATGCAACACGATACAGGAGCTCGAACCAGAGACAATCTCGGCTCTGCAGCTGGAGAAGCCATTCTTTGCTATAGGACCAATCTTCTCATCCGGTTTCACCAAGAGCATGGTCGCCACCAGCCTGTGGGCGGAGTCCGACTGTGCCCAGTGGCTTGACACCAAGCCTCATGAGTCTGTCTTGTACGTCTCGTTTGGCAGTTATGCTCATATCGGTAAACAGGAGATTGAAGAGATAGCACATGGAATTTTGCTCAGTGGAGTTTATTTTGTTTGGGTGGTTCGACCAGATATCGTAAGCTCGGAGGACACCGATCCTCTTCCTGAAGGGTTTAGAGAGGAGATGGGGAATAGAGGGTTGATCGTGCCTTGGTGCAACCAGAATTCAGTGCTGAAGCATCCTGCAATCGGAGGGTTCTTGACCCACTGCGGCTGGAATTCAACATTAGAGAGCATCTGGTGTGAAGTTCCAATGTTGTGCTTCCCTCTGTTGACCGATCAATTCACCAACCGGAAATTAGCGGTTGATGATTGGAGGGTCGGGCTGAATTTCAAAAGTAAATTGGGTATTAATCAGAAAGAAGTCGCAGACAAAATCAAAACTCTGATGAATGGAAATGCTGAGTGTCGGAAGGAGATAAAGAATGTGAAGAAGGCACTGGAAAATGCATCGGGGCCTGACGGATCATCTGAGAAAAATTTTGACCAGTTCATTAAGGATCTGACACTAAGAATTCAGAAGAAGGAACTTAGTACATGAAGCCACAGTGTCAACAATTTGGGAATGTAATCTGTCCACTGTGGTTTCATAATCCTTGGATTTTTTTTTTATTGGTAACAAAGATGATCAGGGGCTAAAAGGTCCACTAACGTGTAAATTGTGATGTATATAAAAAGTTTGAACACAGATAGTTGGAGCTCTCTCGAGCTCTCTCACAACATGTGAGCCAGAGCAAGAAGAAAATATATTTATATAAGAATAGCTAGTACAAGAGTTTACATATTTACATGTAAAAGAATAAGAAAATGAAAAGTATTTCTTTCTAATTTGATTCTTTCCAATTATCTCCTTCCTTTTCTAGTGAGTGTGCAAAATCTGGAGTAATCCCTAGAATCTTTCAAATCAATTGTTGTCTTCTTCAAGCTCTCGTTGACTGAACGAGTTGAACCTGAGCCATCTGGTTCATTTACCCTCCCCTTCAAGATGAGGTGCTGGGAACTTGAGTGAACACCCATATTGGACCTTAGAACCCTGAAACTCTCCTTAGTCATGGGCTCATGGGTAGGGAACTATGTCACCCAATTATTCTGCATGCAAGGCAATATATTAAGAAACAATGAATCCCATTGCTACTTTCTCTCGTACAAAATGATAATTATGTGTTTTGTGCGAGCATGGAATCCTAGATTAAATGCAAGGTTTTTAAAATCGAATTGTACAACGAACCGGTAGGGGTCCGGTTCCCGGGTTGAATGGTCTGATTGTTTGAACTGAATGAATGGCCTATTTTGACAAAAAAAAAAAAAGCAGCTAAATCATTGGACGATTTGTATGATTCGATCGCCATTTTTTAAGACATATAGTCTACGGGTCCATATAAATTGACCCTTATATGTCAAACCCGTAAAATTATACGAGTCACTAAATTCAACTTGAACCATTTATAAATTTAATTCAATCATCATCATCATCATCATCATCATCATCATCATCATCATCATCATCATCATCATCATCATCATCATCATCATTATTATTATTATTATCATCATTATTTTATTTTAGCATTTAATTTAAATTTTTTGTTTTATAGTAATAATATTAACTAAATTTGTAATATTTAAATGTTTACTTAAAGTAGTTTTTCCAACCGACTATAATTCTTATATAATAGATTTTTTAATTCATATTTTGGATTTAAGAATAAACATTAATGATTTGGATTAACAATTTTAGTGACTGTTAATAAATATCGATTCTTATATGATGATGATGATGATGATGATGATTAATTATTTCTATAAATAATTGATTGTTATTATTATTTACTTAATTCAGTAATTTTTAGCAAGTAATTATTTGATTTAATTTGAATTATTTTATTTTTTAATTATTTATAATAGACATTTAGGGTAGTCTATTTATTTGATTTAAAAGACTTACCATGTTTTATCTAGGCAATGACCCAATACTAAGTAAGGGGCAACTACAGTATCATTTAATTTGAAATTTACTATTTAACAATAAAAAATCAATATCTTGTTGAGCAACCCACCCCCAAAAAAGTATCAATAACTTTGAAATCATTAATCTATTTATAAAATAGTAAAATTAGATGGATGTTTATAACAATATCACCAATACTGCTTAATATTTAGGGACATATGAATGGATAAAAATCATTTAAATGATATACATTCAAAGAGGCAAAGAAGGAAGAAAATCATTCAAAGAGTTGCTAAGAAAAACAATCCATGCTAAACAATATTTGCAAATGCATTCATCCTCTGAAGTAAGAGATGAAAAATATATAACTACAATCAAATCAACATGTATGGCTACAATCAACTGATAATTTGATAAGGACTCCAAAGCCCATCCAACAGAGGAAACATTAAAAAAAGGAGAATAATGGGACCATCCAAAGTATGGAAGTCACATCCAAGTTAGGTGGCAATGGTTCTTTTGGTCGATCACGGATTTTAAGTTTAAGCTCCCCACAGTGCACGTAGACTGGTTAGAATTTATCTTTAGGAAAAAGGTAGGTAAACATGTACATAACATAATGCCTTGTTTGAATAATAGGAATTAGGATTGCAAATGAAATATTATTTGAATTATAGGAATTGGCATTGCAAATGAAATATTATTTGGATATTTGCAAAAACATTATTGAACATAAAAAACCAATTATTCAAAAATAAGGTCGTTAATCAAAGAGTATTTAAAATTATTCAGTAAATAATAATTAAAATAAATTAAAATTATTAATTAATTATCTATCTGAGTTAAAATGGGTAATTTTAGCAAAAAATTTTAAGTAATTAAATTTTTCTATTAACATTTTTTAATAATAATTTGTATTATTAATAGATTAATAATATATTAATAATTATGAAATCAGTAATAAGCATATTATTATTATTAACTAATAATATATTCTTATTATGTGTGTATTGATTTTGAAATCAGTAATACTAAAGTATTATTATTACTACTATTATTATTATTTTATTTTTATTAAGTAATTAATTTGTTATAAATAAAATTTTTAGTTAATTCATAAATAATATTTGCTTTTATAATTCTTTAAGTTTAAAAATATTGAATAATAGAAATTTTTATAATTTAACTTTCACTAAATGAAGTATTTATTAGAGAATAATAGTATTAATTATAATTACTTGTAATAATAATAATATAATTGTATTAACTAATATAATATTATTAATTATAATTACTTATAATAATATAATTAATTATTTCATATAAATGTAAGAATTATAATTTCTGATAATAATTATAATATAAATAATTAGCATTAAATTTTTTTCAAAATAATTAATGAGTTAATATAAATATAAAATGATTATTTCCGAATTACTAATTACCATTATAAAAATATTTATTAATTATCATTAATTAATCATCATTTTGATTTAATAATGAGCAATATTGTGAGTAATAAATTATCAGTAATTATTATAAGAAATAATTTTCAGTAATTAATTATTATCATTGAGTAATTATTATTAGTAAATAATAGTTGGAATTAATTAATTAGAGATAGTTAATAGTAATTAATTAGTAACTAACAATAATTGTTATTAGTAACTAATAGTTGTAATTAATAATTAGAAGTAGTTAATAGCTAGAATTAATTAATTAGTTTAATAGTTAACATTAATTAATAGCAGAGTTTCATTTTTTTAGGAAATGATTCAAAGTGGGAGTTTCCCACTTCCCACAACTCTCCATGGTGGTAAGCTCCACTCTCCATGTTAATGGATTCTTTTCTTAAACTACCACTAATTAAAATTTGACACATGTCTAGTGGGCTCTGTTTTTGAACTACCACTAATCAAAATTTGAGCTGTCCATTTTGTTTAAATCTGGAATGACAGGTATCTGGATATAAATGAGCCACATGTCTTACTATAGGGACCTTTGGCCTGAATTAATAATTGCTTTTATAATTAATTTAGGTAACAATGTTGAATAATTGAGTTTTTTAATTTAACTTTCACTAAATAAAAAATTAATGGATTATAATAATATTATTCATTATTATTATTGATAATAATAATATGAATAATTAACATTACTTATATATTTATGAATTAATATAAATATTAAATGATTATATCCGAATTAATAATTATCATTATTAAAATCGTTATTGATTATCAGTCCGAATTAATAAGTATCATTATTATCAGTAATTAATTATCGCTATTAATTAATGTTGGTAAAAACATTAATATTTTGGTATTTTCAATTGTTTTTAATAATATTTGGGTCAGCAAACATTAATTATCGCTTTAATTAATTATAAGTAAATATTGTTAGTTCATATTGTTACTCGGTTTGGTCAGCAAAACATTAATATTTTTGGGTGTCTTGGGAATTTGAATCAATTTAAGCCAAACCAAAAATAATATAAACTGAACCAAAGGCAATATAAACCAAATAAAAAACTGGAGCAATATAAACCAATTTAATCCGGGTGTACCCGAGCCGACATGATCCAGATTCCATCACCATCTTCGAGAGGTCAAATAAGGGTTGTTTATCACCCTTTTCAACAAACAAATTTATTAAATATTTGAAAAAACAAAAGAAAATATGAATGAAATAAGAAAAAAATAAAAACAAAATCAGTGGTGATAACTGTCGTCTGTGAATGCTCTTGAGCAACAATACGCGTCTAGTAAACATCTAACCGGAAACTAAACAAAGAATGAGCACTAAAGTTAAATGAACACAAACATAAACAGAGAATGAATACAAACAAACATTTAAAAAAAAAAAATACAAAAATTGAGGTTTCTGTAAATCAGTTTTAGAACACTAACCGGATTGAATCACTTTCTCTGAATTCGAAGTTTCTGTGAAATGCAATTTGAAGCAGCTCCTGTATTGAACTCTTCTCTCGTTTTAGATCTGCACAATCAATCTCTTCTCCCGTTTTGCTGAGACTTTTCTTTTACTGGTGTTTGAAAACAGGTACAGAATTTGAAAACAGTGGGTGGTGGATGGATGCAGTCTAAATGGGGTTTTGCATTCCTTACGCCTTCTCTTCCTACTAACCCAATAATGTCTCCGCTTCCTACATTTTCGGTTAGTGGCCTGCTAACTGACTACGTGAGGGGTTTTGCATTCCTGAAATTCAGATACATGAGTTGCCAAGTGTGGGGAGGGGCTGTGGCTTATTGCAATTTTGTATGGCCACGTCTTTGAATGAAAAGACATTTGAAATGGCCACGTGTCACGTGACTGGGAGGGGTTTTGACCTGAAATTACTGTTCAAATTTTCACTTACCCTTTTTTAGAAAATAATTTAAGAATGAAAATTTCCCACTTTACATGACAAGTAGGCTTTGTTATTGAAAGACAACTAATAAGAAAAAAATACTTATCTAATTTATTTATCAGTTTGAGTACAGCTGTCTGAATGGAAAAAAGCACATGTATCACGTCTAATTGGGGGACACTTTATATATATCCGAAATCTACGATTCAAGCAAGCGAGTGGAGAAAGAGATGGTTGAATATTTTATCATGCTCCATCGACATATATATATTTTGGTGATGTAACAGTTTTTCAAATAAAATAAACATCGGCCAATGGTTGGTTCAGCATTGTCAATTAAGGATTCTGATTGATTGAAAACCTGCAGTTATTAACCCCCTTGAGATGACAGCAGCATTGAGAAGGGAGGTTGCCTCCTTGGTCTCTGGTCCCCGTTACTTTGCCACACCAGCTTGAGATCCGCGTTCAAATTGTCCTCTAGCCTTGTTTTAGGGTCTGAATTTCCTAAAACTCAAAAGCTGTCGATTTGGTCTAATTGACTTTTTTATTTTGAGTAATCTTTTCAAATATATGCATTCCAAGTTACCCTTGACCAGGTTATTTTTTCCTTCAAATCCCAACTTTTAGTTTTTTAAATTTATAAAAGAAATTATAAATTAGACTTAAAACGAAACATATATGTACATATATAATATATAATTATATATTTTAAATTAATAAAATACATGTTTACATAAACACATATCTATATATATAATCAGAGACAAAAAACGACGGTCTGGGTCATTTTTAAGACACTAATGATCATGTACCACGGCAATTTCTACAGAATTTTTCTTCTTCCTCGAAGATTCACAATCAACAATATTGATAAATTCAAGATTTAATTACCAGGTGGTAGTGTACCTATGAGAATATGCCACGTCAGCTTGTCATTTCAATTAATGGAACTACATTTCAAAACTTGCATTTAACTTAAAATTAATTTCGTAGAAAGTCAATAAGAAGAATTGGTCCCTAAAAACAAACCCATTTGCATTGAGTGACACCCCTTAGAAAGAATTGGGATCTGCTCCTCACACAACGCGTCTCACACCGACCTCACATGGGAAATATTCCCAATGCACGGTGAGATGTCGGTGTGAAGCGCACTGTGTGAGGAGAAGATATGGTGTGTGCCTTAGAAACTACTAACTATAATAACTTTTGGGTTGATTAGAGCACATCCCAATTTTTGATAAATAGGAGTCATTTCGTGCTGAATGACTTGTTTTTGTTTGTGTAGAAGATTTCAACAGGGCAGTAACATAAGCTACTTCAACCATATAGACAGAATGCCCGAATCACCCAATTTTTCTTCAAACCCTCCCCTTTTCCTCGAGAGTGGGGATTTTGGAGAGAATAGTTCCAAGACTTTTATCTAATTCTTTTAGAACACGCAGAAAGCAAGCAGTCGATTATTATTACAACTGTTCCTGTTATAGTGAGTGTTTTGATCAGTTAATCAGTCAGAACGATGGAATTCAGGAGTGCTGAGATAGAGCTCATTGACATCAAGAGAATGCAGAGGCTTCGGGAAGCAGCCTTAGAAGGGAGTATAAATTCCTTGCACGAATTGCTCCGGCAGGACGAGCTCATTCTTCATAGAGCCAGCGTGGTTTGTGCCGCCGAGACTGCTCTGCACATAGCATCTGTGCTCGGCCACCTCGATTTTGCTAGAGAGCTTCTCCGCTGCAAGCCTGATCTCGCTACCCAACCTGACATACGACGGCGACAAACACCCCTTCACTTGGCCTCCGCAAATGGGCATCTTCACCTGGTACGAGAGCTGCTCTTCATCAACCCAGATGTTTGTCTTGCTCAAGATCGGGATGGCAACACCCCTCTCCATCTAGCAGCAGTCCAAGGCCAAGTGGAGGTGGTAAAAGAGCTACTTCGGCTAAGACCCCAAGCGACCCGAGCCCTTGTGGATTGTCGGCAGACTATTCTRMACCTCTGCGTGAAACATGACCGCTTAGAGGCGCTTAAGCTGCTGGTGAATTCAACTGGTGATCACGAATTTGTGAACTCCAAAGATGATGATGGCAACACAATCCTGCATCTTGCAGCAGCTGATCGGCAGATTGATGTAAGCTTTTCATGCTTCTTACCTAACTTCGATCGCTTTTGATTTTGGTTAGATATACACGACATTCGTTTAATTTTCTTCCAAGAGCAATATCAATTGGCATATTGCTTGAAACCCATTATTCATTAATTAAGTGGATTCCACTAACAGATTTGAAAATCAAGAGTGGGTTATGACCTTCTGAGTTGCACATGCGCAATTTGATTGATTTTGAAACTAAAATATATCAAGTTGTAATACTTGCTAGTCGTAGACTCACATTAAGCTAATWATGTTTGATGAAATGTCGAACACTTACTGTGCAGACCATTAGATATCTGCTTAGCGAAACCGCAATTAAAGTAAACGTTTTGAATGTCAACTCCTTCACGGCGTTGGATGTTCTGACAAGAAGTCCAAGAGACATGAGAGACATGGAGATAGAGGAGGTTCTTCGAGGTTCCGGAGCTTTAAGAGCTAGGGAAATCCCGC